TTTACCTATTCTTTGGCTGTTTATTTAATGTATAACGTAAATCTGAAATGAACTTAAACACGAAAACGGTGACACGGGGCCGTAAACTGTGGGAGAAGCGAGACATAGACAAAGCGAATTTTTAGCCTTCCTCCTGCCTGAATCCATCCATCATAAGTGTTTCACTATTTTAGTGATGTTTTGTATATTTTCGTAGTTTTACAGAATCAGACCAGTGCTGTTGGTTATAACTGCATCATCCACAAGATTTGAATACCATCAGTTTCGTTTACCATATTTAGTTTTCTTCTGGCTTATTTCCCACATGGAGACGTTTGCTTGGGCCAAAGGGATAAAATCATTTTTGGGCTGCAAGGAGAATGTGAGAAAATATGTCACTTTGCTCATGAGTTAGTCGAGCTCTGTCTGTGGTTAGGAATTATTGTAATATGTGCCCTAGACAGCTCACAGGAATTTATTCCTGACTACATCAGCTGAGCTTGACAGCAAATAAAATACAGCCTAGTCTTTTCTTCTCCATTCGTCCTTCAACAGGCAGTTGGCACCTAGTATTGCAGTTTATATCTAGGTTGTGATATTTGGGCCTTTTGGACAATCACACTCGATTACAGCAAGTCCTTAATTAGTCAGTGTTTACAGCATGCTCGTAAAGTCATAAAGAGGCAGCGGGTCTGAATGCCGACATTGACACATTTGTTCCAGTAATGAACCTGTAGTCATGCCTGACAACACTAAAGATAACCTGCCCTGCTGGTGGGGAGCCTGTAGTCATGCCTGACAACACTAAAGATAACCTGCCCTGCTGGTGGGGAGCCTGTAGTCATGCCTGACAACACTAAAGATAACCTGCCATGCTGGTGGGGAGCCTGTAGTCATGCCTGACAACACTAAAGATAACCTGCCCTGCTGGTGGGGAGCCTGTAGCCATGCCTGACAACACTAAAGATAACCTGCCATGCTGGTGGGGAGCCTGTAGTCATGCCTGACAACACTAAAGATAACCTGCCATGCTGGTGGGGAGCCTGTAGTCATGGCTGACAACACTAAAGATAACCTGCCCTGCTGGTGGGGAGCCTGTAGCCATGCCTGACAACACTAAAGATTTGCCATGCTGGTGGGGAGCCTGTAGTCATGCCTGACAACACTAAAGATAACCTGCCCTGCTGGTGGGGAGCCTGTAGTCATGCCTGACAACACTAAAGATAACCTGCCCTGCTGGTGGGGAGCCTGTAGTCATGCCTGACAACACTAAAGATAACCTGCCATGCTGGTGGGGAGCCTGTAGTCATGCCTGACAACACTAAAGATAACCTGCCCTGCTGGTGGGGAGCCTGTAGTCATGCCTGACAACACTAAAGATAACCTGCCCTGCTGGTGGGGAGCCTGTAGTCATGCCTGACAACACTAAAGATAACCTGCCATTACTCAGCCACCATCTGCAGCCGTCCTCTTCACCCTTCCCTTTTTCAGTTTTGTTTCTGTTTACATATTTCAGTTTTTCTCTTTCCTTTGTCCGTCTACTTATGGCCTTATGTATGTTCCTGGTTGTGTAGTTTTTTATTGTTGCGTTTCTGTAGTGTCTCTTCTAATCCCTGGAACCATCTTGCCTTATAGCCTACTGTTCATCATAGCTGCTGGCTGTTCATCATAACTGCTGGCTGTTCATCATAACTGCTGGCTGTTCAACATAACTGCTGGCTGTTCATCATAGCTGCTGGCTGTTCATCATAGCTGCTGGCTGTTCATCATAACTGCTGGCTGTTCATCGTAGCTGATTTGGTTCCATTGTGACGAGATGACCAAACAATTTATGTCTGTGAAATCATTGTGCCTGCTATTGTTCTTTGTTGGTGACTTGTCTTTCCCCCCCCCCCCCCCCCCCCCCCCCCCCCCCCACTGCATTTCTTGTACATCTCCTCTCATTAGTGATTTTGCATGTATGTGTTTCTAGGACTGTCCATGTCTAGCACTGATGGCACAAAGGTCGTACTAATAGCTAATTTATGAACTGCTGTTTGTGTGCAGATATTTTGAGGCTGTTTATGTTGTTGGCCGTCTGTTTTCTCTGATCCTCTATTCTCTGATTAGCTTGTTTTCATGCCTTTCCTTCAACAGTGAGGATATTTGAACTAGTTTTCTATTTACTGTGATTATTTCTGGGTTTTTCACGCTAGTTTTCATATTATATTTCTTACAACAGGTGTTGAGGATTTTATATGGTTTTGGAGGTTATCCTGATCTTTGTATGAAAGAACGTGATCGTCAGCAGATATTAGCTCATTGAAACCTTCCTGCTAGAGGCTTGCTTCTCTAGCTGTCATAACCGTATAGATGATAAACAACAGTGGTGGCCGTCATACCCGTATAGATGATAAACAACAGTGGTGGCCGTCATACCCATATAGATGATAAACAACAGTGGTGGCCGTCATACCCGTATAGATTTTTAAACAACAGTGGTGGCCGTCATACCCATATAGATGATAAACAACAGTGGTGGCTGTCATACCCGTATAGATGATAAACAACAGTGGTGGCCGTCATACCCGTATAGATGATAAACAACAGTGGTGGCCGTCATACCCGTATAGATGATAAACAACAGTGGTGGCCGTCATACCCATATAGATGATAAACAACAGTGGTGGCCGTCATACCCGTATAGATTTTTAAACAACAGTGGTGGCCGTCATACCCATATAGATGATAAACAACAGTGGTGGCTGTCATACCCGTATAGATGATAAACAACAGTGGTGGCCGTCATACCCGTATAGATGATAAACAACAGTGGTGGCCGTCATACCCGTATAGATGATAAACAACAGTGGTGGCCGTCATACCCGTATAGATGATAAACAACAGTGGTGGCCGTATACAACTTTGTTGTACCCCAGATGAAACTTGCAACCAGTTTCTCATGTCTACAGTTGTTCTTACAGCACATTCGGCCATGTCTAGTTACTTACTGCACATTCGGCCATGTCTAGTTACTTACAGCACGTTTGGCCATGTCTAGTTACTTATAGCACACTCGATCATGTGCTAGATAGCTCTGATGTTGTCCAGCAATGTTTCATTGATACCATGCTTTTTGAGTGCCAACTATAGCTTGTCTCAGTTTACTCAGTCGAGGGCTTTTTCTTGATCTAAGCCTTATTTAGTTTTTTTTTTTTCTCTGTTTTTGTTTTTCCTCACTCATCTGTCCTCATTGTAAAAAAGCATCGATGCTTCCTTTTTTTAAGCCGAACTGTGAATTATTTAGGGATGGTTCCACGTTATATCCTACTCTTTGTTCCAAAATTTGTATGTCAAGATTTCCTGTGTGGCTAACAAGAGGTATGCCTCTGTGTTGACCATATTCTTTCTTGCTGCCCTTGTTTTCCATACTGACACAATCATAGATCTTTGCCAATCTTCTAATACATTCCTCTCTTGCCATGCATGGTTCCAGATCTTTTAACAACATTACATTCACTTGCTGGCATACTTTGTTGTTGAGCCTTTTTTTAATTGCTTCTGTCACTTCCTGTTTCCCATGGTGTTTTGATGTGGAGGGTTAGGAACACTCATCTCTCAGACTTGACTCTTTGAAAGGATTGCGGTGGGAGCTTGTTGACAGTTTGTTTGATCATCTTTTTGGCATCTCTTCTATCCTTTTGATGCACAGTTATTTATTTTTTTACTGTTTTTATTTTTAATTATTTTTTGAAAAAGTTTTTCCTCGACAGCAACTTTTTCTTGTATGTTCCACCATACTGTTGTTTATTTTTACCCCCTTCCCCTTTAAATAACTCTACATTTATCATCTAATTTAGTTTAAAAAAAAATGTTTTTGAATATCTGCTGACCCATACTACCACTGTTCCATTTCTCACTTTGTTGGTCAAAAACTGTTTCTATTTGCTTTGTACACTAAACCTGTTCTCTTCATCCATGGGTTTCTTTATGTTTTTGACTTCTGAAGTTTCTGTGTAGGTCATGTTACTGAAAAATGTATGCCACATTTACCTGGACAGTGTGTAGGTATGACTACACATGTATGCCACATTTACCTGGGCAGTGTGTAGGTATGACTGTACAAATATATGCCACATTTACCTGGGCAGTGTGTAGGTATGACTGTACAAATGTATGCCACATTTACCTGGGCAGTGTGTGGGTATGACTGTACAAATGTATGCCACATTTACCTGGGCAGTGTGTAGGTATGACTGTACAAATGTATGCCACATTTACCTGGGCAGTGTGTAGGTATGACTGTACAAATGTATGCCACATTTACCTGGGCAGTGTGTAGGTATGACTGTACAAATGTATGCCACATTTACCTGGACAGTGTGTGGGTATGACTGTACACATGTATGCCAAATTTACCTGGACAGTGTGTAGGTATGACTGTACAAATGTATGCCAAATTTACCTGGACAGTGTGTAGGTATGACTGTACAAATGTATGCCACATTTACCTGGACAGTGTGTAGGTATGACTGTACAAATGTATGCCACATTTACCTGGGCAGTGTGTGGGTATGACTACACATGTATGCCAAATTTACCTGGACAGTGTGTAGGTATGACTACAAATGTATGCCACATTTACCTGGGCAGTGTGTAGGTATGACTGTACAAATGTATGCCACATTCACCTGGACAGTGTGTGGGTGTGACTGTACAAATGTATGCCACATTCACCTGGGCAGTGTGTGGGTATGACTGTACAAATGTATGCCACATTCACCTGGGCAGTGTGTAGGTATGACTGTACAAATGTACGCCACATTTACCCGGGCAGTGTGTAGGTATGACTGTACAAATGTATGCCACATTTACCTGGGCAGTGTGTAGATTGACTGTACTGTCCTTGATTTGTCATCTTGCTGCACATTTTGTTAACATAAAATCAGAGGACTGGTTCAAGATATTTATTTCATTTTTTTTTTCTGTTTGCAAATTTCAGTTGTTTCTGTTGACATATTTCAGAGTCACAGGGAAACAAGATGGGAGACAGATACAATATTCACAGTCAGCTGGAACACTTACAGTCCAAGTACATTGGGACTGGGCACGCAGACACCAGCAAGTGGGAATGGCTGACCAACCAGCATCGCGATACCTACGCCTCCTATCTGGGCCACTTTGACATGCTCAACTACCTCAGCCTGGTGGAGAACGAGTCCCGGGCCAGGATCCGCTTCACCATCATGGAGAAGATGCTGCAGCCATGTGGCCCACCACCTAAACGCCCTGAGGACTGAGCACCAGTGAACTGTTAATTTCATTTCCTGTTTTTGTATCTTTTTTTCTATTTTGAGACCACCATTTCACCTTCCCTTCAAGAATCACAAGTGATATTCCTGGCTGAGGCAGGTGATGTTCCTGGCTGAGGCAGGTGATATCATGTACATTCGCTGGACTCTTGGGCTGTTTGCAGTTCCTGGAGTCATTATTGCTGCAGTGTTTAAATGTTGATAAAACTGGTGTCAAGAGAAAAGCAGGCTACTTGAAATAAAATGTCTGCTTCCAAACAAACACAGTGTTTCAGGAAATTTGTCTGTTAGTTTTAGAGTCAGCCATCTTTTTCTCCATTCTCAGATTGGAGGTTATTAAAAAGACCTGTGCTGTGCACATGGTTGCATCCCAATGTTTGACCTCACCAGTCTGTAGACTCCTCCCAATGTTTGACCTCACCAGTCTGTAGACTCATGCCAATGTTTGACCTCACAGCACTCACCAGTCTGTAGACTCATGCCAATGTTTGACCTCACAGCACTCACCAGTCTGTAGACTCATGCCAATGTTTGACCTCACAGCACTCACCAGTCTGTAGACTCATGCCAATGTTTGACATCACAGCACTCACCAGTCTGTAGACTCATGCCAATGTTTGACCTCACAGCACTCACCAGTCTGTAGACTCATGCCAATGTTTGACCTCACAGCACTCACCAGTCTGTAGAAACTATTGCATCTAAAACCTCAGTCTCCTTCACCTGCTTCATTTCCTGGCCTGGCCTTCCATCACCACTTGTTAAATGTGAAGCTAGTCGTTCCTGTAACCATCATGTCACTCAAGCCTCCCCTATAGCAATCTGCTCTCATCCAGTCATAGACGATACAGAGACAGCAGCACTGTGGAACACTTGACTGTCTAGCTGCATTACTCCATAACAGCACGGCACATCACACCAACATAATCTACATCAACACCACACATTAACCACAATCTACATCAACACCACACATCATTAACCACCAACATAATCAACACCACACATTAACCACCAACATAACGAACACCACACATCATTAACCACCAACATAATCTACATCAACACCACACATCATTAACCACCAACATAATCTACATCAACACCACACATCCTTTACCACCAACATAATCTACATCAACACCACACATCATTAACCACCAACATAATCTATATCAACACCACACATTATTTAGGAAACAACAATAATACATGAGTCAAGCAGATTTTCATTCTGGTTTCACAGACTGCAGACAGGAATGTTTTCTGTGGGAAAACCCTCTGGGTCATGGGCGTGGCAGCAAGCACATTTGCTCCACTTAATTGAGAACTGCTTCTAATCCATTGACAACAAATGGACATCTCATTCTAGAATTGAAACAGGGCTGATCATAAGGTTCCCGCATTCAGTGGGTTTTATGTGCCTTGAAGTAGCATTCTTCTAACTGTATACCAATTTGAGTGTTCTTGCCAAGGAGGGAAGCACTGGCAGACACATTTTGTGACTGTCTCATGTTAGCGAGTATATCATCGCTGAACTGGTAGTGACTGTCTCATGTTAGCGAGTATATCATTGCTGAACTGGTAGTGACTGCCTCATGTTAGCGAGTATATCATCGCTGAACTGGTAGTGACTGTCTCGTGTAAGCGAGTATATCATCGCTGAACTGGTAGTGACTGTCTCATGTTAGCGAGTATATCATCGCTGAACTGGTAGTGACTGCCTCATGTTAGCGAGTATATCATCGCTGAACTGGTAGTGACTGTCTCATGTTAGCGAGTATATCATCGCTGAACTGGTAGTGACTGTCTTGTGTTAGCGAGTATATCATAGCTGAACTAGTAGTGACTGTCTCATGTTAGCGAGTATATCATCGCTGAACTGGTAACCTTTCTTCAATGTCAGGATGGTGTGGAAGCAACGGAATGTTGTGTTTCACCAAGAGTGTTCACTTGTGCAGACAGTCCACTACCTATGGTGACTAAAGTCTGGATGGTGTGGAAACAACGGAATGTTGTGTTTCACCAAGAGTGTACACTTGTGCAGACAGTCCATTACCTATGGTGACTGAAGTCTGGATGGTGTGGAAGCAACCGAATGTTGTATTTCACCAAGAGTGTTCACTTGTGCAGACAGTCCACTACCTATGGTGACTGAAGTCTGGATGGTGTGGAAGCAACCGAATGTTGTGTTTCACCAAGAGTGTTCACTTGTGCAGACAGTCCACTACCTATGGTGACTAAAGTCTGGATGGTGTGGAAACAACGGAATGTTGTGTTTCACCAAGAGTGTACACTTGTGCAGACAGTCCACTACCTATGGTGACTGAAGTCTGGATGGTGTGGAAGCAACGGAATGTTGTGTTTTCACCAAGAGTGTTCACTTGTGCAGACAGTCCACTACCTATGGTGACTGAAGTCTGGATGGTGTGGAAGCAACGGAATGTTGTGTTTCACCAAGAGTGTACACTTGTGCAGACAGTCCACTACCTATGGTGACTGAAGTCTGGATGGTGTGGAAGCAACGGAATGTTGTGTTTCACCAAGAGTGTTCACTTGTGCAGACAGTCCACTACCTATGGTGACTGAAGTCTGGATGGTGTGGAAGCAACGGAATGTTGTGTTTCACCAAGAGTGTACACTTGTGCAGACAGTCCACTACCTATGGTGACTGAAGTCTGGATGGTGTGGAAGCAACGGAATGTTGTGTTTCACCAAGAGTGTTCACTTGTGCAGACAGTCCACTACCTATGGTGACTGAAGTCTAGATGGTGTGGAAGCGTGACTGAGGCGGGACACCACTGACACATGTTAGTCTGACTGAGGCTGGACACCACTGACACATGTTAGTCTGACTGAGTCAGGACACCACTGACACATGTTAGTCTGACTGAGGCAGGACACCACTGACACATGTTAGTCTGACTGAGGCGGGACACCACTGACACATGTTAGTCTGACTGAGGCAGGGCACCACTGACATATGTAAGCTTGACTGAGGCAGGACACCACTGACACATGTTAGTCTGACTGAGGCGGGACACCACTGACACATGTTAGCTTGACTGAGGCAGGACACCACTGACACATGTTAGTCTGACTGAGACAGGACACCACTGACATATGTTAGCTTGACTGAGGCAGGACACCACTGACATATGTTAGCTTGACTGAGGCGGGACACCACTGACACTTGTTAGTCTGACTGAGGCAGGACACCACTGACACATGTTAGTCTGACTGAGGCAGAACACCACTGACATATGTTAGCTTGACTGAGGCGGGACACCACTGACACATGTTAGTCTGACTGAGGCAGGACACCACTGACACATGTTAGTCTGACTGAGGCAGGACACCACTGACATATGTTAGCTTGACTGAGGCGGGACACCACTGACACATGTTAGCTTGACTGAGGCAGGACACCACTGACACATGTTAGTCTGACTTAGTCAGGACACCACTGACATATGTTAGCTTGACTGAGTCAGGACACCACTGACATATGTTAGCTTGACTGAGGCAGGACACCACTGACACATGTTAGCTTGACTGAGGCAGGACACCACTGACATATGTTAGTCTGACTGAGTCAGGACACCACTGACATATGTTAGCTTGACTGAGGCAGGACACCACTGACACATGTTAGTCTGACTGAGTCAGGACACCACTGACATATGTTAGTCTGACTGAGGCAGGACACCACTGACATATGTTAGTCTGACTGAGGCAGGACACCAGTGACACATGTTAGCTTGACTGAGGTGGGACACACTGACACATGTTAGTCTGACTGAGGCAGGACACCACTGACATATGTTAGTCTGACTGAGGCAGGACACCACTGACATATGTTAGTCTGACTGAGGCAGGACACCAGTGACACATGTTAGCTTGACTAAGGTAGAACACCACTGACATATGTTAGTCTGACTGAGGCAGGACACCACTGACACATGTTAGTCTGACTGAGTCAGGACACCACTGACACATGTTAGCTTGACTGAGTCGGGACACCACTGACATATGTTAGCTTGACTGAGGCAGGACACCACTGACATATGTTAGTCTGAGGCAGGACACCACTGACACATGTTAGTCTGACTGAGGCAGGACACCACTGACACATGTTAGTCTGACTAAGTCAGGACACCACTGACACATGTTAGTCTGAGTCAGGACACCACTGACATATGTTAGTCTGACTGAGGCGGGACACCACTGACACATGTTAGTCTGACTGAGGCGGGACACCACTGACACATGTTAGTCTGACTGAGGCAGGACACCACTGACATATGTGAGTCTGACTGAGGCAGGACACCACTGACATATGTTAGTCTGACTGAGGCAGGACACCACTGACACATATTAGCTTGACTGAGGCTGGACTGTGAAAGCTGACAGCAGCATGTACACAGTTTGAGATCAGATCTTTCAAGACAAAAACAGAAATCAGTGCACATAATGCCGATTATTGATGCCCATTTTAAAAACACCTAGCCCCACAACTGACAGTTGTATGTTATAGTTCCCTGGACCAACACCCAGCCCCACAACTGACTGTTGCATGTTATAGTTTCCTGGACCAACATCCAGCCCCACAACTGACTGTTGTATGTTATAGTTTCCTGGACCAAAATCCAGTCCCACAACTGACTGTTGTATGTTATAGTTTCCTGGACCAACACCTAGCCCCACAACTGACTGTTGTATGTTATAGTTTCCTGGTCCAACATCCAGCCCCACAACTGACTGTTGTATGTTATAGTTTCCTGGTCCAACATCCAGCCCCACAACTGACTGTTGTATGTTATAGTTTCCTGGACCAACATCCAGCCCCACAACTGACTGTTGTATGTTATAGTTTCCTGGACCAACACCCAGCCCCACAACTGACTGTTGTATGTTATAGTTTCCTGGACCAACATCCAGCCCCACAACTGACTGTTGTATGTTATAGTTTCCTGGACCAACATCCAGCCCCACAACTGACTGTTGTATGTTATAGTTTCCTGGACCAACATCCAGCCCCACAACTGACTGTTGTATGTTATAGTTTCCTGGACCAACATCCAGCCCCACAACTGACTGTTGTATGTTATAGTTTCCTGGACCAACACCTAGCCCCACAACTGACTGTTGTATGTTATAGTTTCCTGGACCAACACCTAGCCCCACAACTGACTGTTGTATGTTATAGTTTCCTGGACCAACATCCAGCCCCACAACTGACTGTTGTATGTTATAGTTTCCTGGACCAACATCCAGCCCCACAACTGACTGTTGTATGTTATAGTTTCCTGGACCAACACCCAGCCCCACAACTGACTGTTGTATGTTATAGTTTCCTGGACCAACATCCAGCCCCACAACTGACTGTTGTATGTTATAGTTTCCTGGACCAACATCCAGCCCCACAACTGACTGTTGTATGTTATAGTTTCCTGGACCAACATCCAGCCCCACAACTGACTGTTGTATGTTATAGTTTCCTGGACCAACACCTAGCCCCACAACTGACTGTTGTATGTTATAGTTTCCTGGATCAACACCTAGCCCCACAACTGACTGTTGTATGTTATAGTTTCCTGGACCAACATCCAGCCCCACAACTGACTGTTGTATGTTATAGTTTCCTGGACCAAAATCCAGTCCCACAACTGACTGTTGTATGTTATAGTTTCCTGGACCAACACCTAGCCCCACAACTGACTGTTGTATGTTATAGTTTCCTGGACCAACACCCAGCCCCACAACTGACTGTTGTATGTTATAGTTTCCTGGACCAACACCCAGCCCCACAACTGACTGTTGTATGTTATAGTTTCCTGGACCAACACCCAGCCCCACAAGACTGTTGTTGTATGTTGTAGTTTCCTGGACCAACACCCAGCCCCACAACTGACTGTTGTATGTTATAGTTTCCCCGACCAACACCGTAGTCATCAGACTGTTGTATGTTGTAGTTTCCTGGACCAACACCCAGCCCCACAACTGACTGTTGTATGTTATAGTTTCCCCGACCAACACCCAGCAACCTGCTGTACACTGACTGACTGTTGTATGTTATAGTTTCCTGGACCAACACCCAGCCCCACAACTGACTGTTGTATGTTATAGTTTCCTGGACCAACACCCAGCCCCACAACTGACTGCTGTATGTTATAGTTTCCTGGACCAACACCGTAGTCATCAGACTGTTGTATGTTATAGTTTCCTGGACCAACACCCAGCCCCACAACTGACTGTTGTATGTTATAGTTTCCTGGACCAACACCCAGCCCCACAACTGACTGTTGTATGTTATAGTTTCCTGGACCAACACCCAGCCCCACAACTGACTGTTGTATGTTATAGTTTCCTGGACCAACACCCAGCCCCACAACTGACTGTTGTATGTTATAGTTTCCTGGACCAACACCCAGCCCCACAACTGACTGTTGTATGTTATAGTTTCCTGGACCAACACCCAGCCCCACAACTGACTGTTGTATGTTATAGTTTCCTGGACCAACACCCAGCCCCACAACTGACTGTTGTATGTTATAGTTTCCTGGACCAACACCCAGCCCCACAACTGACTGTTGTATGTTATAGTTTCCTGGACCAACACCCAGCCCCACAACTGACTGTTGTATGTTATAGTTTCCTGGACCAACACCGTAGTCATCAGACTGTTGTATGTTGTAGTTTCCTGGACCAACACCCAGCCCCACAACTGACTGTTGTATGTTATAGTTTCCTGGACCAACACCCAGCCCCACAACTGACTGTTGTATGTTATAGTTTCCTGGACCAACACCCAGCCCCACAACTGACTGTTGTATGTTATAGTTTCCTGGACCAACACCCAGCCCCACAACTGACTGTTGTATGTTATAGTTTCCTGGACCAACACCCAGCCCCACAACTGACTGTTGCATGTTATAGTTTCCTGGACCCAAAATCCAGCCCCACAACTGACTGTTGCATGTTATAGTTTCCTGGATCAACACCCAGCCCCACAACTGACTGTTGTATGTTATAGTTTCCTGGACCAACACCTAGCCCCACAACTGAGTGTTGTATGTTATAGTTTCCTGGACCAACATCCAGCCCCACAAATGAGTGTTGTATGTTATAGTTTCCTGGACCAACATCCAGCCCCACAACTGACTGTTGTATGTTATAGTTTCCTGGACCAACACCTAGCCCCACAACTGCTAGACATTCTTTCTCTCTCTGCTCAACTAGTCTGTATGTGCTAGACATTCTCTCTCTGCTCAACTAGCCTGTATGTGCTAGACATTCTCTCTCTGCTCAACTAGTCTGTATGTGCTAGACATTCTCTCTCTCTCTCTGCCCAACTAGTCTGTATGTGCTAGACATTCTCTCTCTCTCTTTTATTACAACTAGTCTGTATGTGCTAGACATTTTCTCTCTCTGCCCAACTAGTCTGTATGTGCTAAACATTTTCTCTCTGCTCAACTAGTCTGTATGTGCCAGACATTCTCTCTCTCTCTGCCCAACTAGTCTGTATGTGCCAGACATTCTCTCTCAGCCCAACTAGTCTGTATGTGCTAGACATTCTCTCTCTCTGCCCAACTAGTCTGTGTGTGCCAGACATTCTCTCTCTCTTTCTGCACAACTAGTCGGTATATGCCAGACATTCTCTCTCTCTGTACAACTAGTCTGTGTAAGCATAAACATGGAAATCAAAACCTGTATGTAAACCAATATGCTGGCAAATGGCCATGTGGATCAACAGGGCACAGATCACTGTTTCAGCACTTCCTCTAGAAACAGCTTGACATCGCGCATCTCCTGAAACAGTTTATTTGATTCACCAAGTATCGCTAATAGATGATTTGCCAATGTTTATTTGATTCACCAAGTATCACTAATAGATGATTTGCCAATGTTTATTTGATTCACCAAGTATCACTAATAGATGATTTGCCAATGTTTATTTGATTCACCAAGTATCACTAATAGACGATTTGCCAATGTTTATTTGATTCACCAAGTATCACTAATAGATGATTTGCCAATGTTTATTTGATTCACCAAGTATCGCTAATAGATGATTTGCCAATGAAGTATAATCAATCATTTATTTACCAAGTACCATCAAAAGTTTAATCAGCCACCAACAAGTATGATGTCAACAGCTGAGTCAACAAGTATCACATCAACAACTGAATCACCACCGAAAACAAATATCACATCAACAACTGAGCCACTAACAAGTATCAGATCAACAGCTGAGCCACCAATAAGTTTCACATCAACAGCTGAGCCACCCACAAGTATCACATTAAACAGCTGAGCCACCAACAAGTATCACATTAAACATCTGAGACACCAACAAGTATCACATCAAACAGCTGAGCCACCAACAAGTATTACATCAAACAGTTAAGACACTAACAAGTATCACATCAACAGTTGAGCTACCAAAAAGTATCACATCAACAGCTGAGCCACCAACAAGTATTACATCAAACAGTTAAGACACTAACAAGTATCACATCAACAGTTGAGCCACCAACAAGTATCACATGAACAGCTGAGCCACCAACAAGCATCACATCAACAGCCGAGCCACCAACAAGTATCACATCAAACAGCTGAGCCACCAACAAGTATCACATGAACAGCTGAGCCACCAACAAGTATCACATCAACAGCTGAGCCACCAACAAGCATCATCATTCTTTTGGTGTATGTATGTTGTGGGTTCTCTTAATGTCTATCTACCTGCCGACCATCTTCCTGGCCAGTGATAGTGTCTTTGACTGAGGCAAGCTTCATTTAATTTCAGTTACATTAGAGATATCACATGAACTATGACCCATGACATGACCTCTCACCTGACTGCATGAACTATGACTCAGATTGCTGTAGGACTTGAACTGTGTGTTGGGATTAAAGGAGCGGACAATCTCATACGTAGCCTGACCCCAGCGGAAGGACACCATAGGGTCCGCCTCTCCGTGACACAGCAACACTGGTACATTTGTGTTGTATTTAGGATTCTGTGAAAAAGAAAAGACACATGTACACAGATGACATCAACATCACTGTGTACACAAGTAGTGTGTAGACATAGTTGACAGATTTCTCACAGTCAGATGACCAGCTTGTTTGGGTGAACCCGGACATTATCATTCTAAATATAAACGCTTGATTTTTGCTTCACTACCCAAACTTATCTAACACGTAAATGAGAAAACTTACCCAGGCACACACACAACATTTGTATCTAACAAATAAATGATTAAACACGCCCAAGCAAACATGACTGTGATTACACAGGTAGACACAAAGATCACATCACAGACAGACACAAAGATGACTTCACAGACAGACACACACAAATGTGACTACACAGACAGACACACACAAATGTGACTACACAGACAGACACACACAAATGTGACTACACAGACAGACACAAAAGTGACTACACAGACAGACACAAATGTGACCAAACAGACAGACAGACACACAAACATGAAATCACAGACAGACTCAAAAGTGACTACACAGACAGGCACAAAAGTGACCACACAGACACAAACATGACATCACAAACAGACACAAAAGTGACTACACAAACACAAACATGACATCACAGACAGACACAAAAGTGACTACACAGACACAAACATGACATCACAGACAGACAACACTACTGACCGTGTCCTCTGTAAAGTACTTGTTCAAGGGCAGCCAGGTGCTGAGACCCAGCACCCCACCCACGGGGGTGTCTGTGGCCAAGGCTGTGTACAAGGCCAGGGCGCCCCCTTGAGAGAAGCCACCAATGACTATCTTCTCTGCTGGGATACCTCCACTGACCTCTTTGTGGACTAGCTGCTGTACTGGAGACACAAGCAAGCACACTTTAGGGGACACAAGAAAGCACACTGTAGGGTACACAGTCAAGCACACTGTAGGTGACACAAGCACACTTTAGGTGACACAAGCACACTTTAGGGGACACAAGCACACTTTAGGGGACACAAGCACACTTTAGGGGGGAGACATGCACATTTTAGGGGACACAAGCACACTTTAGGGGGGAGACATGCACATTTTAGGGGACACAGGCACACTTTAGGGGACACAAGCACACTTTAGGGGACACAATCTAGCACACTGTAGGGGACACAATCAAGCGCACTGTAGGGGACACAAGCACACTTTAGGGGGGAGACATGCACATTTTAGGGGACACAAACACACTTTAGGGGGACACATGTACATTTTAGGGGAGACAAGCACATTTTATATGAGACAAGTTAGTTGCGTATCCTTCACAGAACCAACCCCAGCATTTTTTGGCTGTTGTGGTTTTTCTAGGCAAATTTGCATCCAGTAGTTTGCCATTTATGGGAGACCAGACACATTTTAGGGGAGACACATACATGACTGTGTGTGAAACACTGACACCCACCCCAACACTGCCTAGACAACATGACATAAATGACTGTGTGTGACACCCACCACACTGACATGACACCCCCCCCCACACACTGCCTAGACACACATGAGGGGAACAAATGAATGACTGTGTGTGAAACATTGACACCCACCCCCCACACTGCCTAGACAACATGACATGAATGACTGTGTGTGAAAACACTGACACCCACCCTCACACTGCCTAGGCAACATGAACATGACATAAATGACTGTGTGTGAAAACACTGACACCCACCCCCACACACTGCCTAGGCAACATGACATAAATGACTGTGTGTGTGTAAAACACTGACACTGATACCCACCCCCACACTGCCCTAGGCCAGGCAACATGACATAAATGACTGTGTGTGAAAACACTGATACCCACCCTCACACTGCCTAGGCAACATGACATAAATGACTGTGTGTGAAACACTGACACCCACCCCCACACTGCCTAGACAACATGACATAAATGACTGTGTGTGAAACACTGACACCCACCCCCACACTGCCTAGACAACATGACATAAATGACTGTGTGTGAAACACTGACACCCACCCCCACACTGCCTAGGCAACATGACATAAATGACTGTGTGTAAAACACTGACACCCACCCTCACACTGCCTAGGCAACATGACATGAATGACTGTGTGTGAAACACTGACACCCACCCCCACACTGCCTAGGCAACATGACATTAATGACTGTGTGTGAAACACTGACACCCACCCCCACACTGCCTAGGCAACATGACATAAATGACTGTGTGTGAAACACTGACACCCACCCCAACACTGCCTAGGCAACATGACATAAATGACTGTGTGTGAAACACTGACACCCACCCTCACACTGCCTAGGCAACATGACATGAATGACTGTGTGTGAAACACTGACACCCACCCTCACACTGCCTAGGCAACATGACATGAATGACTGTGTGTGAAACACTGACACCCACCCTCACACTGCCTAGGCAACATGACATGAATGACTGTGTGTGAAACACTGACACCCACCCTCACACTGCCTAGGCAACATGACATAAATGACTGTGTGTAAAACACTGACACCCACCCTCACACTGCCTAGGCAACATGATATGAATGACTGTGTGTAAAACACTGACAGCCACCCTCACACTGCCTAGGCAACATGACATGAATGACTGTGTGTGAAACACTGACACCCACCCTCACACTGCCTAGACAACATGACATGAATGACTGTGTGTGAAACACTGACACCCACCCTCACACTGCCTAGGCAACATGACATGAATGACTGTGTGTGAAACACTGACACCCACCCTCACACTGCCTAGGCAACATGACATGAATGACTGTGTAAAACACTGACACCCACCTCACACTGCCTAGGCACATGACATGAAATGACTGTGTGTGAAACACTGACACCCACATGACACTGCCTAGAACATGACATGTGTGTAAAACACTGACACCCACCCTCACACTGCCTAGGCAACATGACATTAATGACTGTGTAAAACACTGACACCCACCCTCACACTGCCTAGGCAACATGACATGAATGACTGTGTGTGAAACACTGACACCCACCCTCACACTGCCTAGGCAACATGACATGAATGACTGTGAAATGTGAAAACACTGACAGTTAAACATGTGCCTAGGCAAGAGAGGTGACATGTCAATAGTACTGTGTAAAACATCACCCTCACACACTCCTTGGAGCTTTCCTGGATGCCTTGATCATCCTCAGGGCTGCTGGGATGTAGACCTAGGATGTCGAACCTGTGATACAAGTAACAGATCACCATGTACAGATCACACATCCTTGGAGCTTTCCTGATCACCATGTACAGATCAGGGGAACCTGGGATGTAGACAGTGTCACCATGTGAGACAGATCACCATGTAGAGATCACCATGTACAGATCACCATGTACAGGTCACCATGTAGAGATCACCATGTAGAGATCACCATGTACAGGTCACCATGTACAGATCACCATGTACAGATCACCATGTACAGATCACCATGTACAGATCACCATGTAGAGATCACCATGTAGAGATCACCATGTACAGATCACCATGTACAGATCACCATGTACAGATCACCATGTAGAGATCACCATGTAGAGATCACCATGTACAGATCACCATGTACAGATCACCATGTACAGATCACCATGTACAGATCACCATGTAGAGATCACCATGTAGAGATCACCATGTACAGATCACCATGTAGAGATCACCATGTACAGATCACCATGTACAGGTCACCATGTACAGATCACCATGTAGAGATCACCATGTACAGATCACCATGTAGAGATCACCATGTACAGATCACCATGTACAGATCACCATGTACAGATCACCAGTCAACTGACCAGTATTTCCCAATCTGTTGACACCAGCGGCTCACCTTATTGACTAGTGACTTATTTGACAGGTAATCAAACAGAGAAACAATGACAATGTCCAGCTCATGTGACATCTGCTGCTATTTAAAGATGAAACAATCTGATACGACAGCTGGAGAGTTCATTATGACAGTAACATTCACCTAACTTCTCTGTTCTGGTGACTGATACGGCTGAGGAAGACTTTTCATATAAACAGGAAGTTAAAAAAAAAAAGCAACCAACAATTTGATAGCTCTATAACTCTGCCTCTATCAACCCACAGTTCATCACCTCCACGTGAGTTCACTCATTCCTAGCATGAAGACCACAGTTCACATTTATTCATGAGTTCCCATTGCACAGCTATACAAGTCTGTGATCCTGGCAACTAGATCTGCCATCCAGTCTACAGACTGACCCTCCAGTTTTAATCAAACAAATTTATATAAACAGGAACTAGACTTCAAAGGGACTAGACTAGACTTCCCAGGGACATAACCCTTTATATATCCAAATACTGCTCACAACAAGTATATATTATGTATATTTCACATTATGGTCAATCATTATACATACACAGATTGAATTTTTGTGTTTCATTTACAATGTTGATCACCAGTTCGACTTACGGAGACCAGGCACATATGTTGTTGATCACCAGTTCGACTTACGGAGACCAGGTACATATGTTATTGATTACCACTTTGACTTACGGAGACCGGGTACATATGTTGTTGATCACCAGTTCGACTTATGGAGACCAGGCACATATGTTATTGATTACCACTTTGACTTACGGAGACCAGGCACATATGTTGTTGATCACCAGTTCGACTTATGGAGACCAGGCACATATGTTGTTGATTACCACTTTGACTTACGGAGACCAGGCACATATGTTACTGATTACCACTTTGACTTACGGAGACCAGGTACATATGTTATTGATTACCACTTTGACTTACGGAGACCAGGTACATATGTTGTTGATCACCAGTTCGACTTACGGAGACCAGGCACATATGTTATTGATTACCACTTTGACTTACGGAGACCAGGCACATATTCTATTGATTACCACTTCGACTTACGGAGACCAGGCACATATGTTATGGCCAATGTTTGGAAAAAAGGGTTAAGTTTCTTGGTTTACTAGTGCATAATGTCTGACGCTCATTTTAATGTAACCAACCACCCGGGGTTTAGGGGATTATGGGGGGCAGCAAGGACCTGAATAGTTTTAAATGAGGGACGATTCGTGGGGGTTCAGAACAAACAGAAATCCCTGACTTCATGTTTTGCATGAACGGACTCACGTAGAGAAGGGGACACTTGAGTGGAAGATTAACTAAAACCAATTCACTCGGGGTAGTCAGGGAGAAAGGAGTCCACAAATGTGCAGTGGAAGATCACAGTCTGGAGTCTCAAGGAGTAGACGTGTCCTGGGATTAGTGGTTAGTTGTATGCTCTAGCAGCATAGGTTTGTATCTAACCTGGGTGTCACCAGGCAGACCACGTGTGCATCGTTGTGTCATGCTGGTTAGCCGAGAGAAGTGTTTGCAGGTTCTACTCAGGTCAGACAGGTCAGAAACAGATTACAAACAAGACAGACAGGCGAGAGAGAGATAGAGAGAGAATAAGTCAGACAGGTGAGAGAGAGATAGAGAGAGAACAAGTCAGACAGGTGAGACAGAGAATAAACAAGTCAGATATGTGGGAGAGAGAGAGAGAGAGAGAGAGAGAGAATAAGCAAGTCAGACAGGTGACAGAGAGATAACAAGTCAGACAGGTGAGACAGAGAATAAACAAGTCAGATATGTGGGAGAGAGAGAGAGAGAGAGAGAGAGAGAGAGAGAGAGAGAGAGAGAGAGAGAGAGAGAGACAACAAGTCAGACAAGTGTGAAAGAGAAACGAGTAGACAGATGTGAGAAATAACAAGAAATCAGATAGGTGAGTGAGAGACACAAAAACAAGTCAGACAGGTGAGAGAGAGACAACAAGTCAGACATGTGACAAAGAGAGAAAGAAACTATAAGAAATCCGACAGGTTTGAAAAAGAAATGACAAGAAATCAGACATGTGAGAAAGAGAAACAACAAGTCAGACAGTTGAGAGAAAGAAACAACAAGTTAGACAGGCAAAAGAGAGAAACAACAACAAGTTAGGCAAAAGAGAGAAACAACAACAAGTTAGTTGGGAAAGAGAAACAACAAGTCAGACAAGTAAAAGAGAGACACACAGAGAAAAAACAAGTCCCACAGGTGAGAGAGAGAGAAACAACAAGTCAGACAGGTGAGAGAGACACACAGAGAAACAAGTCTGACAGGTCAGAGAGACACACAGAGAAACAACAAGTCAGACAGGTGAGAGAGAGACACAAGAGAAACAACAAGTCTGACAGGTGAGAGAGACACACACAGAGAAACAACAAGTCAGACAGGTGAGAGAGAAACAACAAGTCAGACAGGTGAGAGAGACACACAGAGAAACAACAAGTCAGACAGGTGAGAGAGACACACAGAGAAACACCATGTCAACCAGGTGAGAGAGAAACAAGATAGACAGGTGAGAGAGACACACAGAGAAACAACAAGTCAGACAGGTGAGAGAGACACACAGAGAAACAAGTCTGACAGGTGAGAGAGACACACAGAGAAACAAGTTAGACAGGTGAGAGAGACACACAGAGAAACAACAAGTCAGACAGGTGAGAGAAACACCATGTCAGACAGGTGAGAGAGAAACAAGTCAGACAGGTGAGAGAGACACACAGAGAAACAACAAGTCAGACAGGTGAGAGAGACACACAGAGAAAACAAGTCTGACAGGTCAGAGAGACACACAGAGAAACAACAAGTCAGACAGGTGAGAGAGACACACAAGAGAAACAACAAGTCTGACAGGTGAGAGAGACACACACAGAGAAACAACAAGTCAGACAGGTGAGAGAGAAACATCAAGTCAGACAGGTGAGAGAAACACACAGAGAAACAACAAGTCAGACAGGTGAGAGAGACACACAGAGAAACACCATGTCAACCAGGTGAGAGAGAAACAAGTTAGACAGGTGAGAGAGACACACAGAGAAACAACAAGTCAGACAGGTGAGAGAGACACACAGAGAAACAACAAGTCAGACAGGTGAGAGAGACACACAGAGAAACAAGTCAGACAGGTGAGAGAGACACACAGAGAAACAACAAGTCAGACAGGCGAGAGAGACACACAGAGAAACACCATGTCAGACAGGTGAGAGAGACACACAGAGAAACAAGTCAGACAGGTGAGAGAGACACACAGAGAAACAACAAGTCAGACAGGTGAGAGAGACACACAGAGAAACAACAAGTCAGACAGGTGACAGTCATGGGGACAGATTAACAACAACATCATCAGGACAGAAGTGTGCAGTCACGGGGACAGATTAACAACAACAACATCAGGACAGAAGTGTGCAGTCACGGGGACAGATTAACAACAACATCATCAGGACAGAAGTGTGCAGTCACGGGGACAGATTAACAACATCATCAGGACAGAAGTGTGCAGTCATGGGGACAGATTAACAACACCATCATCAGGACAGAAGTGTGCAGTCATGGGGACAGATCTTCACAGACAACATTCAGTGACATCAACACTGCACTTATAAGTTATACTGATACAAATGTTGGACACAATGGTGTGGTTGCGTAAGTGCTTGTGTGAGCATTGTATGTGTCTGAACATGTATATGTGTAAGTATATTGTGAGCTTGTATATGTGTGTGCTTGTGTAAGCATGTATATGTGTGTGCTTGTGTAAGCATGTATATGTGTGTGCTTGTGTAAGCATGTATATGTGTGTGCTTGTGTAAGCATGTATATGTGTGTGCTTGTGTAAGTATGTATATGTGTGTGCTTGTGTAAGTATGTATATGTGTGTGCTTGTGTAAGTATGTATATGTGTGTGCTTGTGTAAGCATGTATATGTGTGTGCTTGTGTAAGCATGTATATGTGTGTGCTTGTGTAAGCATGTATATGTGTGTGCTTGTGTAAGCATGTATATGTGTGTGCTTGTGTAAGTATGTATATGTGTGTGCTTGTGTAAGCATGTATATGTGTGTGCTTGCGTAAGTATTATATGTGTGTGCTTGTGTAAGCATGTATATGTGTGTGCTTGTGTAAGCATGTATATGTGTGTGCTTGTGTAAGCATGTATATGTGTGAGTGCTCTTGTGAGCATGGATGTGTTAATGGGTGTGTGAGCATGCATATGTGTAAGCATGTAAATATGTTAGTGCTTGTGTGAGCATAAACACACATGCATGCTTGCACACACATGAATGGCTATTTGTGTGATTATGATTATGTGACTGCTTGTGTGCAAACACTGATAGATTTGTGTTATCCATGTGTACAAACTGACAGATCTGGTAATGTTCAGTGTTAGCCAAGTGTACATACTTACAGATCTGACACAGATTAGTGTTATCCATATGTATACACTGACAGATCTGGCATAGTTCAGTGTTGTCCCTACGTACATACTGAGGATTTGACATAATTCAGTTTATTTCTATGTAGACACTGACAGGTCTGACATAGTTGTCCATATGTACACACTGATAGATCTGAAATTGTTTAGTGTTATCCATGTACACACTGATAGATCTGATACAGTTCAGTGTTATCCATGTGTACACACTGACAGCTGTGGCACAGTTCAATGTTATCCGTGTGTACACACTGACAGCTGTGGCACAGTTCAATGTTATCCATGTGTACACACTGACAGCTGTGGCACAGTTCAATGTTATCCATGTGTACACACGGACACATCTGGCATCTTTTCCTCAAAGAGTTATTGATTCATATGAAATGAGACCATGTAAAATGACAACAAAGTCAACAGTTACGATCCTCGCAACTCTGACTGTAGACACAATCAAACAGTGACATGATGTTTTCCGGAGTATATTTAAATTCTGAACACATGTACATGACTTACGCGTGGGGACAGATACATCGAATGTGTTTCAGTGCTAGAGCTCGGAAACTGTCGGCCCATCCATGGCTGTGGAAACCAACGTATGCTACATGAAGAGTAAAAAACTAGACTCGGCAATTGCCAACATAATTACAACCTCCCCTGTCTGGTGACTCAACAGATACAAGGCTAACGATAGTCCCAACCTTTTCTGCTTTCTTATCACAAGACAAGTGGAAGAGTCATTGAATGATGTATGTACCAAAGTGGAATTCATTATCATGTGTGTTTAGATTTCTGCTTTCATCTTGGATTAAATTGTTCTGAAACTGTTGAAATGCTGCAGTCTGCTTTCAGAGAGGCCTACCGTAGTCAATCTAAGACATCTGAGTGGTTCAGGGATTCCTGCCTCAGTCAATCTAAGACATCTGAGTGGTTCAGAGAGTCCTGCCTCAATCAATCTAAGACATCTGAGTGGTTCAGAGAATCCTGCCTCAATCAATCTAAGACATCTAAGTGGTTCAGAGAGTCCTGCCTCAGTCAATCTAAGACATCTGAGTGGTTCAGAGAGTCCTGCCTCAATCAATCTAAGACATCTGAGTGGTTCAGAGAGTCCTGCCTCAGTCAATCTAAGACATCTGAGTGGTTCAGGGAGTCCTGCCTCCGTCAATCTAAGACATCTGAGTGGTTCAGAGAATCCTGCCTCAGTCAATCTAAGACATCTGAGTGGTTCAGAGAGTCCTGCCTCAGTCAATCTGACATCTGAGTGGTTCTTGCATGTTAAAGTAGCCACCAATTCTTAGAAGATGATCCACAAGAAGGCAAGACTGTCTGCCTCCCAGACGAACCGGAAAGTGTCACTTCTTGTTCCTCTGATGTAACCTGCATGTCCTATGTGGACAAGAATGTTGGGTAGAGACTATCAGAGAGGTTGCAGGGGATGCTGTCATCTGTTTGGTACCTGCCAGTCCTATGTGGACAAGAATGTTGGGTGGAGACTATCAGAGAGGTTGCAGGGGATTCTGTCATCTGTTGGGTACTTGCCAGTCCTATGTGGACAAGAATGTTGGGTAGAGACTATCAAAGAGGTTGCAGGGGATTCTGTCATCTGTTGGGTACTTGCCAGTCCTATGTGGACAAGAATGTTGGGTAGAGACTATCAGAGAGGTTGCAGGGGATTCTGTCATCTGTTGGGTACCTGCCAGTCCTATGTGGACAAGAATGTTGGGTGGAGACTATCAGAGAGGTTGCAGGAGATTCTGTCATCTGTTGGGTATCTGTAGTCCTAACTGAACATTTGCAGAGAAGACAGGTGAACATCAAATCTGTTCCCTGCATCCTGACATTGAAAAGAATTCAGCGTGACTACTACTTGTTCTCACAACTTCAAATCTGTTCCCTGCCTCCTGACAGCGTGACTACTACTTGTTCTCACAACATCAAATCTGTTCCCTGCCTCCTGACATTGAAAAGAATTCAGCATGACTACTACTTGTTCCCACAACATCAAATCTGTTCCCTGCCTCCTGACATTGAAACAAATTCAGCGTGACTACTACTTGTTCTCACAACATCAAATCTGTTCCCTGCCACCTGACATTGAAAAGAATTCAGCGTGACTACTACTTGTTCTCACAACATCAAATCTGTTCCCTGCCTCCTGACATTGAAAAGAATTCAGCGTGACTACTACTTGTTCTCACAACATCAAATCTGTTCCCTGCCTCCTGACATTGAAAAGAATTCAGCGTGACTACTACTTGTTGTTCTCACAACATCACAACATCAAATCTGTTCCCCCTGCCTCCTGACATTGAAAAGAATTCAGCGTGACTACTACTTGTTCTCACAACATCAAATCTGTTCCGCGTGACTACTACTTGTTCTCTCACAACATCAAATCAAATCTGTTCCCTGCCTCCTGACAGCGTGACTACTACTTGTTCTCACAACATCAAATCTGTTCCCTGCCTCCTGACAGCGTGACTACTACTTGTTCTCACAACATCAAATCTGTTCCCTGCCTCCTGACAGCGTGACTACTACTTGTTCTCACAACATCAAATCTGTTCCCTGCCTCCTGACAGCGTGACTACTACTTGTTCTCATCAAATCTCCTGACTGCTTACTCTCTCACAACTTCAAAAATCTGTGGCCTCCTGACATTGAAAAGAATTCAGCCTGACTACTACTTATTCTCACAACTTCAAAAAGTGGGGGTCTCCATGTTAGCCTCACATTCTGAATGTCATGGGTTTGTTCCACTGATGCATCTTTCAGTTCTTGGTTGTAATATTTATGGGATTTTCATTGGAGCTACAGAGTTTGTTCTTTGTGCAACACTCTCAGCACGTAGCTAGCCATTCTGTGCAAGAGAGACCGAGCTATATGGAACAAAAGCAGGTTCAATGAAGTTGATTCTCTTGCCTTCAACAACTCAAGAAAGTAATGAAAGGTCAGGGATTTGCTGACACAAGACATTCAAGACAATGTTAGGTGCTAATTGGGGGTGATTAGAGGAAGTGCCCACCAGCAGTACTTGTGTCACTGGCAAGGATGCTGCAATATGTATCTACAATCAGGACGCACCTCAGACAGATATCAAACCTACTTAGTCCTAGCTCTGCCAGCTTACACACTAAACAAGCAGTCCAAGGACTCAATGATCAGCCTGAACTACAGCTGAGATGTAAACAGTGCACTGTACCCCCTTCAAACTCACCCATCCACACAACAACCCTCCCCCCCCCCCCACACACACAAACACCCACACACAAAGTGATATGTACACAATACCAACAGCAGGAACTACTCACCCACCCACACAACAACCCCCCTCCCCCACACACACACCCACACACAAAGTGATATGTACACAATATCAACAGCAGGAACTACTCACCCACACACACACCCACACACAAAGTGATATGTACACAATATCAACAGCAGGAACTACTCACCCACACACACCCACACACAAAGTGATATGTACACAATACCAACAGCAGGAACTACTCACCCACCCACACAACACCCCCCCCCCCCACAAACACACATACCCACACACAAAGTGATATGTACTCAATACCAACAGCAGGAACTACTCACCCACACACCCACACCCACAAACAAAGTGATATGTACACAATACCAACAGCAGGAACTACTCACCCACACCCACACACAAAGTGATATGTACACAATACCAACAGCAGGAACTACTCACCCACTAACACAACACCCCCCCCCCCCCCACAAACACACATACCCACACACAAAGTGATATGTACTCAATACCAACAGCAGGAACTACTCACCCAGAGTCTCCCAGACCATGCAGAAATATGAGCTGCAACACAAGACAGAAAAGACATCAGTGGACAGTGTCTGCTCAACATAAGACAGACAAGACATCAGTGGACAGTGTCAGCTCAACATAAGACAGACAAGACATCAGTGGACAGTGTCAGCTCAACATAAGACAGAAAAGACATCAGTGGACAGTGTCTGCTCAACACAAGACAGAAAAGACATCAGTGGACAGTGTCTGCTCAACATAAGACAGAAAAGACATCAGTGGACAGTGTCAGCTCAACATAAGACAGAAAAGACATCAGTGGACAGTGTCTGCTCAACACAAGACAGAAAAGACATCAATGGACAGTGTCAGCTCAACATAAGACAGAAAAGACATCAATGGACAGTGTCAGCTCAACATAAGACAGAAAAGACATCAGTGGACAGTGTCAGCTCAACATAAGACAGAAAAGACATCAGTGGACAGTGTCTGCTCAACACAAGACAGAAAAGACATCAGTGGACAGTGTCAGCTCAACATAAGACAGAAAAGACATCAATGGACAGTGTCAGCTCAACATAAGACAGAAAAGACATCAGTGGACAGTGTCTGCTCAACATAAGACAGAAAAGACATCAGTGGACAGTGTCTGCTCAACAATAAATGGTACATTAGATGTGGGACCAGGACCAATACAAGACATGACAGGCCTGAGTGAACATTGGCTGCTCAACAGAAGACAGGACACAAACCTGAGTGAACACTGGCTGTTCAACAGAAGACAGGACACAAACCTGAGTGAACACTGGCTGCTCAACAGAAGACAGGACACAAACCTGAGTGAACACTGGCTGTTCAACAGAAAACAGGACACAAACCTGAGTGAACACTGACTGCACAACGCAAGACATGACAGGCCTGAGTGAACACTGGCTGCTCTATACAAGACATGACAGACCTGAGTGAACACTGACTGCACAACACAAGACATGACAGACTTGAGTGAACACTGACTGCACAACAGAAGACAGGACACAAACCTGAGTGAACCCTGACTGTACAACACAAAACATGACAGACCTGCGTGAACACTGAGTGCACAACACAAGACATGACAGACCTGCATGAACACTGACTGCACAACACAAGACAGGACAGGCCTGAATGAACACTGACTGCTCTATACAATACATGACAGACCTGAGTGAACACTGACTGCACAACCCAAAACATGACAGACCTGAGTGAACACTGACTGCACAACACAAGACATGACAGACCTGCGTGAACACTGACTTCACAACACAAGACATGACAGACCTGAGTGAACACTGACTGCACAACACAAAACATGACAGACATACGTGAACACTGACTGCACAACACAAGACATGACAGACCTGAGTGAACACTGACTGCACAACACAAGACATGACAGACCTGAGTGAACACTGACTGCACAACACAAGACATGACAGACCTACGTGAACACTGACTGCACAACACAAGACAGGACAGACCTGAATGAACACTGACTGCTCTATACAAGACATGACAGACCTGAGTGAACACTGACTGCACAACACAAGACAGGACAGGCCTGAGTGAACACTGACTGCACAACACAAGACAGGACAGGCCTGAGTGAACACTGACTGCACAACACAAGACAGGACAGGCCTGAGTGAACACTGACTGCACAACACAAAACATGACAGACCTGAGTGAACGCTGACTGCACAACACAAAACATGCCAGACCTGAGTGAACACTGACTGCACAACACAAAACATGACATACCTGAGTGAACACTGACTGCACAACACAAAACATGACAGACCTGAGTGAACACTGACTGCACAACACAAGACATGACAGACCTGAGTGAACACTGACTGCACAACACAAGACAGGACAGACCTGAGTGAACACTGACTGCACAACACAAGACAGGACAGGCCTGAGTGAACACTGACTGCTCTATACAAGACATGACAGACCTGCGTGAACACTGACTGCACAACACAAAACATGACAGACCTCAGTGAACACTGACTGAACAACACAAGACAGGACAGGCCTGAGTGAGCACTGACTGCACAACACAAAACATGACAGACCTGAGTGAACACTGACTGCTCTATACATGACATGACAGACCTGATTGAACACTCACTGCACAACACAAAACATGACAGACCTGAGTGAACACTGACTGCACAACACAAAACATGACAGACCTGAGTTAACACAGACTGCTCAACACAAGACAGGACAGGCCTGAGTGAACACTCACTGCACAACACAAGACAGGACAGATGAGAGTGAAAACTGAATGCTCAACACAAGACAGGACAGATGTGAGTTAAAACTGAATGCTCAACAATAACTGGTACATTAACTGTGAGACCAGAGCCAGTTGGTTAGCTACACATTGTATTTAACAGAACTGTACCCACACTTATAGGAAGAAACCACACATGTGCACACACATACACACATAGATGAACAATACAGTCCACAAATAACACAACCCTGACAGAAGAGTGGCAGCTGTCTCGTGGGTCTTGATGTCAGATGTGTTTTTCAACACTGGTCTTAGATCTCAAGTCAACCCAGCCCTAATGGAAATCAGGCAATATCCTGGGAAGTAAAGGCAGCCTGTGTGCTGTTGGCCACCTCACCCATTCAGTGTCCACTGGTCAATCAAATATAAGTCTGGCAACAAACTGATCCTGGTACTTTTACAATGTACATCAATACATTATATAATTAACAATACTTCACAGAGATGAAGTAGATCCAACAATCAACAGTACAGTAAACACTGACAATGTACACCCAACAATCAACAATACTTCACAGAGATGATGTACATCCAACAATCAACAATACTTTACAGAGATGATGTACATCCAACAATCAACAGTACAGTAAACACTGACAATGTACACCCAACAATCAACAGTACAGTAAACACAGACAATGTACACCCAACAATCAACAATACTTCACAGAGATGATGTACATCCAACAATCAACAATACTTCACAGAGATGATGTACATCCAACAATCAACAGTACAGTAAACACTGACAATGTACACCAAACAATCAACAGTACAGTAAACACAGACAATGTACATCCAACAATCAACAATACTTTACATAGATGATTACACCCAACAATCAACAGTACAGTAAACACTGACAATGTACATCCAACAATCAACAATACTAGTAAACAGAGAATGATACACCAAACAATCAACAACAATACTTCACAGAGATGATATACACCCAACAATCAACAATACTTCACAGAGATGATGTACATCCAACAATCAACAATTCTTTACACAGATGATGTACTGAATACTTGAGACAGATAATGTACATCCAACAATCAACAATACTTGACACAGATGACGTACATCCAACAATCAAAAATACTTGACACAGATAATGTACATCCAACAATACTTGACACAGATGACATACATCCAACAATCAACAATATTTCACACATATGATGTACATTCAATGATCAACAATATTTGCAATAACATAATATAACACAACTCCAATGTAAGCCAACTAACCGAAGCTGTTGCCACTGCTCTGGGTTGTACTATTACTGGTGGATTCATGCCGTATGTGGCTGAACAGAATAATTGACCTTCAATATAGAAGGCACAAAGGTCATTATGATATAAGGAAATGTACATGCTGTTATCTGTAATATTGGAGAGGTGTTTCCATACATCCAAATACTATCTGTAATATAAGAGAGGTGTTTCCATACATTCAAATACTATCTGTAATATAGGAGAGGTGTTTCCATACATCCAAATACTATCTGTAATATAAGAGAGGTGTTTCCGTACATTCAAATACTATCTGTAATATAGGAGAGGTGTTTCCATACATCCAAATACTGTCTGTAATATAAGAGAGGTGTTTCCATACATCCAAATACTATCTGTAATATAAGAGAGGTGTTTCCATACATCCAAATACTATCTGTAATATAAGAGAGGTGTTTCCATACATGCAAATACTATCCATAATATAAGAGAGGTTTTTCCAAACACCCAAATAATATCCATAATATAAGAGAGGTGTTTCCAAACATCCAAATACTATCTGTAATATAGGAGAGGTGTTTCCATACATCCAAATACTATCTGTAATATAGGAGAGGTGTTTCCATACATCCAAATACTATCTGTAATATAGGAGAGGTGTTTCCATACATGCAAATACTATCCGTAATTTAAGAGAGGTGTTACTAAACCTCCAAATACTATCTGTAATACAAGAGAGGTATTTCCAAACATAAAAATACTATCTGTAAAATAAGAGAGGTGTTGCCATACATGCAAATACTATCTGTAATATAAGAGAGGTGTTTCCAAACATCCAAATACTATCTGTAATATAAGAGAGGTATTTCCAAACATCCAAATACTTTCTGTAATATAAGAGAGGTGTTTCCATACATTTAAATACTATCTGTAATATAAGAGAGGTGTTTCCAAACATCAAATTACTATCTGTAATACAAGAGAGGTGTTTCCAACCATCCAAATACTATATGTAATACAAGAGAGGTGTTTCCAAACATCCAAATACTATCTGTAATTAAAGAGAGGTGTTTCCAAACATCCAAATACTATCTGTAATTAAAGAGAGGCGTTTCCATGCATTTAAATACTATCCATAATATAAGAGAGGTGTTTCCAAACATCCAAATACTATATGTAATACAAGAGAGGTGTTTCCAAACATCCAAATACTATATGTAATACAAGAAAGGTGTTTCCAAACATCCAAATACTATATGTAATACAAGAGAGGTGTTTCCAAACATCCAAATACTATATGTAATACAAGAGAGGTGTTTCCAAACACTATATGTAATACAAGAGAGGTGTTTCCAAACATCCAAATACTATATGTAATACAAGAGAGGTGTTTCCAAACATCCAAATACTATATGTAATACAAGAGAGGTGTTTCTAAACATCCAAATACTATATGTAATACAAGAGAGGTGTTTCCAAACATCCAAATACTATATGTAATACAAGAGAGGTGTTTCCAAACACTATATGTAATACAAGAGAGGTGTTTCCAAACATCCAAATACTATATGTAATACAAGAGAGGTGTTTCAGTACTGCAAAGATAACACAAGGAGTGTTGGAATGGTCACTGTGCTGTTCTAACTACTGCTGGCTTCTGTGTTTTTATTCCTAAATTATACGTTTAGATTCAAAATAGATTCACATCTGACTGCTATGAATTACTACTACAATTACTGGTACAACTCTGATCTCTTCTAAAACAACAAGTGAACTAACCATAATATAGTGAATACATGTTAAGCGTTTGTGTATCATTGAGTTTATTGAAGCACAGACAATGACTGATGTATACAATAAATATTTACTTTTATTAAAATATATGCACAAGCAGTAACCAAAAGTCTGCATACAAATAAGCCAGATCTGTACAACAGACGTACGCAAAATTCAAATTCTAGAAACATTTTATTTATAACATGTTCAAGTCAAAGTCCAGAAACAGACAACAACCAGAACGTTCAGCTGCAGTTTAAAGCCGGTACATGCGAAGAAGAAATGATGAATCTAATTATTCCACGCAGGATTAGAACGGACGTTTTTATGTATGTAAATCTTGTTAAGTTAGACCCTTATACCATCTGTCAGTGGTCAGTCATCAATCACACTGTGACCCTCATCGACTCAACATGTCCCCCCTCATCTAAACACTAACAGCAGATGGACGGGCGAGTAACAAGCGCTGTTGCATAGAGAACAGGGCAAACATTGATTGGGTCAACTCAGTGAAACTGTAACAATCATATTCTAACATATACTACTACCCAGCCAAGCAGTAGGGGTCGTTCACCAATGCACAAAGCCGTTAGACGAGAGATCTGTCGGTCACCCAGTGGAAGATGGAACTGGAGCTGACACTAAGTCACAGACCAACAATGGCAGCAGGGCTGTCGAAGTTGGTACGTTCGTTCTTTTTTGGTTCCCTTGCTGACCAAAACTAGATGTTAATACATCTTAAAGACATAATCATCGTATCTCCAGATCACTTTAAATATCCGCAAAGATAGACTATACACTATAATTACTATATTCGATTGAAAGTATATTAAAAATATACTGAATGTGGCAATTGTTTTTAATTATTATCCAGAAACCAAGAGTTGTAAACCCTTTCGCTCGGCACTATGGATATCGCTACCCTTCGGCCTTGATTCCATGATAGGTACCGTAAATCTGCGAAATGTGTGCCTTTTCTGCCTACCCCCGAGAGTAAACTCCGACCACGTGGAGTTTGTTACCCGGTCGCCGTGCAACTCGTTTAACCAACTTAGCTAGCGATGTGACCATCTACGCTTCTACATATTGTTCAAATTAAATATAAGCGATGCGGTATTGCTTAACCAAACATAACTGATAGACATAAATATACATTACTGAAATAGAAATAAAAATACTCTATATTTCCAAATTACAAAACAGATTGGTTAAACATGATAATGCCGTTTAAATTACTATTAATACCCTCTGTACTTTTTGTACCACGCCAGATGTTTTGGTATGTTTTATAAGTGTTGCATCGATATTTCGAATTTTTAGTCTTTTTTGTTAAGTGATTGGGAGTGTAAAAAGGCACAGGTAAAGTCGGGAGATGTGAACCAGCGTCGTTGCACACGGTTATAAACCATAAGTGCTCTGCCACCAGTACAGACAGCTGATAAGAAATTGTCCGCCTGTGTTGCCTTCTGCACGCAACTCCGTAACTACAGCGACCTTCCTACATTTACCCTAGAGTGTTAACTCTGGTACCCATTTCTTAGAGGCTGGGGGAACATCGGGAACTAGATTTGATAGCGGGTTTCCTGTCGACTGCGCTAACGCGGCCCCTTATTGGTAGTGCATTGGAAATAACCGTGACGCAGTGGTTGATTCTCAACATAAACCACAAATAACTCTCTATAAAACACAAACAATAGTCTAGCTCCGTGTTCAGTCTAGCTCCGTGTTTAGTCTAGCTCCGTGTTCAGTCTAGCCCCGTGTTTAGTCTAGCCAGTCTAGTCCCGTGTTCAGTCTAGCCCCGTGTTTAGTCTAGCCAGTCTAGTCCCGTGTTCAGCGGTCTAGTCCAGTGTTCAGTCTAGTCCCGTGTTCAGTCTAGTCCCGTGTTCAGTCTAGTCCAGTGTTCAGTCTAGTCCAGTGTTCAGCGGTCTAGTCCCGTGTTCAGTCTAGTCCCGTGTTCAGTCTAGCCCTGTGTTCAGTCTAGCTCCGTGTTCAGTCTAGCTCCGTGTTCAGTCTAGCTCCGTGTTTAGTCTAGCCAGTCTAGTCCAGTGTTCAGCAGTCTAGTCCCGTGTTCAGTCTAGTCCCGTGTTCAGTCTAGCCCTGTGTTCAGTCTAGCTCCGTGTTCAGTCTAGCTCCGTGTTCAGTCTAGCTCCGTGTTTAGTCTAGCCAGTCTAGTCCCATGTTCAGCAGTCTAGTCCCGTGTTCAGCAGTATAGTCCCGTGTTCAATAGTCTAGTCCCGTGTTCAGTCTAGCTCCGTGTTTAGTCTTGTCGGTCTAGTCCCGTGTTCAGCAGTCTAGCCCCGTGTTCAGCAGTCTAGTCCCGTGTTCATCAGTCTAGTCCCGTGTTCAGCAGTCTAGTCCCGTGTTCATCAGTCTAGTCCCGTGTTCATCAGTCTAGTCCCGTGTTCATCAGTCTAGTCCCGTGTTCAGCAGTCTAGTCCCGTGTTCAGCAGTCTAGTCCCGTGTTCATCAGTCTAGTCCCGTGTTCAGCAGTCTAGTCCCGTGTTCAGCAGTCTAGTCCCGTGTTCATCAGTCTAGTCCCGTGTTCAGCAGTCTAGTCCCGTGTTCATCAGTCTAGTCCCGTGTTCAGCAGTCTAGCCCCGTGTTCAGCAGTCTAGTCCCGTGTTCATCAGTCTAGTCCCGTGTTCATCAGTCTAGTCCCGTGTTCATCAGTCTAGTCCCGTGTTCAGCAGTCTAGTCCCGTGTTCAGCAGTCTAGTCCCGTGTTCATCAGTCTAGTCCCGTGTTCATCAGTCTAGTCCCGTGTTCAGCAGTCTAGTCCCGTGTTCATCAGTCTAGTCCCGTGTTCAACAATCTAGTCCCGTGTTCATCAGTCTAGTCCCGTGTTCAGCAGTCTAGTCCCGTGTTCAACAATCGAGTCCCGTGTTCATCAGTCTAGTCCCGTGTTCAGCAGTCTAGTCCCGTGTTCATCAGTCTAGTCCCGTGTTCAGCAGTCTAATCCCGTGTTCATCAATCTAGTCCCGTGTTCATCAGTCTAGTCCCGTGTTCAACAATCGAGTCCCGTGTTCATCAGTCTAGTCCCGTGTTCATCAGTCTAGTCCCGTGTTCATCAGTCTAGTCCCGTGTTCAACAATCGAGTCCCGTGTTCATCAGTCTAATCCCGTGTTCAGCAGTCTAGCCCCGTGTTCAGCAGTCTAGTACCGTGTTCAGCAGTCTAGCCCCGTGTTCAGCAGTAAAGCCCCGTGTTTAGTCTAGCCAGTCTAGTCCCGTGTTCAGCAGTCTAATCCCGTGTTCAGCAGTCTAGCCCCGTGTTCAGCAGTCTAGTACCGTGTTCATCAGTCTAGTACCGTGTTCATCAGTCTAGTACCGTGTTCATCAGTCTAGTACCGTGTTCATCAGTCTAGTCCC